AAAATCCTTTTTTTTTTCTTTTTTTTCCCCCAGTTGTGACCAATTGTTTATAAAAAGGAGAAAATGTATAGGCTTTTTATGTAGACAATTTTTTGGTAACAAAACTGATTCTCAGCTTCATATGTTTTTAATGTACAAGTATCAAGTCTGCTTGCAGTAAAGGACACTGTCATAATATTCAAAGGAGTAATTATATTTAAATTGATTGCTAATTGATGATTACTGTGCTGTTTTGTGAAAAAAATAATTAAGGTGAGTTTCAAGGCTGTACTCTTAATGTGTGAAATCATAAAGTAGTCTTAGTATTATTCTCATCTTCATATATATGACACTGCAAAAGACATTCAGCCTTTTAGCACTAGCAAAGTAGGTGTTGATGGTAAAGTATGACAACCCCAAAAAGAAATTAAAAAATAGAAGGGGAAATGCAGCCTGGAGATAATGCGTGCTAATAACACAACTTATATACGATGTAAACAGGATTAATGAAGTGAAATGGACCGAGTGGAAAACACATGTTTCATTTATTAATGAAGATCCAGGGCCAACAGGTACTGAAGAATTTTACGACACCATTATTTGTGAAATTGCTTTTTTTTGTAGAAATGCTTTGATATAGTTTTATACCTTTAAAAAGCTCAACGCTTGTAATCTAGATATTCAACCACACTTTACTGCTAGGGAAACTCATGGCTAATATGGTAGGAGTGTTAATTATTTTTAAAGATTTGGAGAGAGTGTTGGTTACAAACTCTCATTATTTACATCTTGGCACCAAAAGATGGTGGTTTTACCTTTTCTTGATTTTTTTTCTAAGCAGTTATGCTTGATCTAAGTTTTAAATTCTTGTATGGCATTTGAATGGTATAAGGCCAGAGAACCTTCTACTAGAGAGAGAATATTATTTTGAAAAAGTTGTTACAAAGTACATTTAGTCCTTAAATATTTAAATACAGCATTGCCAAATTGGCAAGAAATTGAACTGTTTCTACCTGACAATACTGTAGTTTGCTGTTTTTAACCCTGGGTGTTCTAAGGTCATGTTTATGTTTTGCGATATATATTAGATGACAAACTGCCTCTGGTCAATCTTGACCAGGAAATTCAAGACACCCATCTGCTGACAGTGCTGGAAGTATCATAGAGAAATGACCCAACCCCGAGGTGTCAGATGTCCTTCTGGCTGCAGGCATCAGGGTTTACGATAGGGGCATGTGAGGATCTGGGAGACTTGTTTTGAAGCTAATTAGTCAGTTAGTATTTATATTGCTTAGTAGAAGGATTTCAGTAATAATGAAAAGGGGCAGACAGAAAAATTTCTGTATAAGATATGGTAGTAAACTGACAACTTACTGTTTAACGAAATGCATGGTTTTTTAACAAAAAAATAGACGTGCAAAAATTTGATCTTGCATATACAGTTTCTACCATATCCTGTTTTGTTTACAATGCATTTTTTTGCAGATCCAAGCAAAGTTCAAGATAATTCAAGAACTAATAGCAAAAATACCCTGAATACGTTTGAAGAAATGGATGATTTGCCCGAAACTTCTGTTTAGTTGTGGTGCATTTGATATGTGGTCGTTCTGAAGGTTAAGAACATCAGCAGTGGATGCTGAAAGCTTTGTTGATATTCTGGACAGCTGTAACCAGCTGGAACACAAACTTTCAGTGACATGGTCTGATGACTTTAACCCATTTAATCAGAGCAGCTGAGCTAAAATAAAATAGACTATTTCACTGGTTCAAGTTTGAGCCTCTTGAAAACCATTGGTGTCCGAGTTTGCGTGACGCTACTCAAACTTGGCTCTAGACTTTTCACTGGTTGAAAAAGGTCAAATGTGAGCTGTTTCTTCCTTTTGTGGAAAATTGAGATCATCGTGATCCCGGTCTGCTGTCTTTGTTTTGGAATCTCTAACTCATGAGAAACATTTTTGTACACTGCAGAAAGTTAAGTTCTTGTCGTGGAGAAAAGAAAGGCATTTCAATTCTGAAGACTACTAAATGAAGTATGTTATTTGGAAATAACAATATTCTGGATACATTTGAAGCTTTTGTATTGTCTGTCAGTGTTACTGGAGGTTTGATCCCACAAGCTGGAGAAAGCCTCTTCATGTCTCGTTAGCTTTGCCTGATCTGTTTTCCTGTGTGTAATCCCTAGGGTATAATGTGGTGTTTACTGCTTTTTATTTATTACTCTGTACATATGCCTTCCATAAAATAACAGGGCAGAAATACGGACAATATGGGAGAATACTTCTGAGTTTGTTCCAGTCACAAGGTCTTTACTTTTCTTACTCAGCTTTTCTGTGCTGTTACATCTGCCCACATAAAATAAGTTATCACACTGGAAGTTCTGGTTTAAAAGTAAATTAATTTTTGTATTCAACCACTTCAGGAAAATAAGAAGTCATTATTTCTTCCCAAAATGAACAAAATAAGTTAAATGCAATGCAATTGCAGACTTTTAAAGCTTTTTTTTTGTATTCAGAGGACTCTGTAACGCATTTCTGTAGCACTTTTTATTTCATTACCTGCGATGTCCTAGTACTATGAATTATATTTTTAGTTTTCTATTTTATGTGTGTATGTATAAAAGGAAATATTTGTTTTATGTACTTTTAAATTTCAGTTCATACATTATGTGTCTTCAGTGTCATGGGTTTTCATCATATATATTCATTTGGTGCCTGTTTTAAAGGTGCTATTTAGGAAAGACTCAGGGGAATTCTGTTCTGCATTTGATTAATAATATGAATTGCATTGGATTCTTACAGCTAAGCCTGCTGTGGGCAAAATGATCCAAAAGACTTTCTTAACACAGAAGAGAGCGTGAGGGAACGCTCCAGCGGAAAGGATAGTGCAGAGCTATTTGCAGGGATGATGGACGTGGTTCTCGCTACCCAACCAGTCTTCTCTAGATGCCGTATCCTGTGTTTCCTACCATGTATGGCCTGGATGGATGGGATCTGATAGAAATCTTCAATTCAGTCATGGTTTTACAGGGAATAGGAATTTGAGGGGAAGGACATTTATGCATGTCAATCGACCAGTGTAATATCTGAGAATTGTTGGGCCTCCTTTGTAGGATATGTGTGTATGAGAAGAAAAATTCCTGTGGTCTTGGAATCTTTCATCTTTGCTGGTTAATTTTGCATTGAAACTGCCAACAAAGAATATTGCCTTAGGACTATGCAGTTCCAATTGGATTCTTTTGAGTGCCAGTTTTTGTACAAAAAAATAAAATACCTCTTCACATGTACTCAGGAAGCAGAATAAACTATCCTGTGCTGTACTCTCTGTTGCTATGGGTAGACTTGTCACTGAAAACAAGCTCAGGTATCTCTGCGCTGTACTGACGTCACACTGCAGGTTTAGCCGTAAAACAGGGAAGGTACAAAACCCGTAAGGAATGTGCTGTGCCAATGTCCAGGTAAAAAAACTACAATAAAACTGAGCAAGAAGATGGGAGGTTGTTTCAAAAGTTCTTTGCTGAGAAAATACCCTCCTTTTGTGGCCACAGAGCCCTGCCACATCACACATCTCCTGTCTCAAGGGTCTTATCAAGAACACTATGAATAATGACTAGAGCAGATCATTCTGTACTTTTTATACATTGTTTATTTAAATTAAAGAAATAAAACTTGTAATTCAATAAACATTCTGTCCTGTGCTTTTATTTTCTTGCCATAGGAGTTACACAAAGCAAGGATAAAAAGGATTTTGGCTTAGTAGTAAGTAAGGAAGGTACCAAATTTCACAGGGTAGAATTTTGGGGTTATGTAGACAATGAATCTTTCAGTAAATAGCTAATTACTGTATCCTCATGCAAAGTTCTTAATGTTTTCTCTGTCCCCAATTATTGTCAAATATGCTAAAAACAACTTTGGAGATTAATTAAATCCCCATTTTCTTCTCTTTTTTCAGCTACTATGACAGGCTTGCTTTCTACAAATACAGAACAAGTCAGTCTCAAAATTCTGAGAGTCTCCCCATATGGAATTCTTTTTAATTTCCATTCTGAAATACTCAGGTATGACTTGTGCATTGCTCTTCAATCAGAATCTGAGTTGTTACCTAATCTTGCCTTCTTCATTGAAAACTTTTGGGGTACAACAGTTGATTAAAATTTTATTTGGAAAATACTATAAGCAGTAGGTGGATACACCTAGAAAGATGTAAAGCTATAAACTTCTCTTGTCCTCATTGCAACAGAAATTTTCTTCAAAAGTTTCCATGGCATAAGTAAATCTTTTTTTGAAATTTGAATATTGCTTCAGTATGTTTCCAACTATTAGATACTTTTCAAATTCAAACCTTTTTACCTCTAAATTAATGTTAAATCAGAAACAGCTTGAATTAATCTTGTAATACTATACATTTTAAAAGCTTTACATTTCGTTTTAGTGTATTTTTCTCAGAAATCATATGTTTTTAGCTTATCTTATATTTTATTTTATAAGTATAAAAAAAAACCACCACAAACCAAACCAAACCCTAAGGCTTCCACTTCAGCACAGTAGGGGTTAGTCACATATACAGATAATATAAAAGAATTTTTATATGTGTGTACATGTACCTCTCCTCACTGTTTCTCTCTCCCTAGCTTTTCCTCATATTTTGTATGTTTACCCAAGGAATTAGTTTCAGGGATCACCCCTTTTTAAAAAGGGATGGTTATTGGAAGTTTGGGTTATAAAATAGGAATCCTGCAATTTTTTTATATAATGTAGTTTTGTGAATGAGCATCTTTCTATATGACGCTGGATATAATTTTTATAGCCTCTAACCCCTATGTGGTATATTGTTTAATCATTTTATATAGGGTGAAACAACAAACTTCATAAAAATAATATTTATACTTTGTATCTATAGTAATCTATTAGAACAAGTAAACAAAAGTCATAACTAGCATTATGACAGTATGTGTCATCTTAAAATTGCTTAGCAATGTTAATTAAATTACAATTTAAAATTAGATTCTGCGTTAATTTATTCCATGAATTACTATTGAATGAGACTGGATTTCACAGAGAAGAAATCCACTTTTTGTATGGAAAATCTGTAATAACCCTTTAAGAAGTGTTCTGGTCTAAGACTGAGGATCTGATATGTTTTGCAGTGAGTTTCATTTTTACTGTTTTTACAAAAGCCTGTTTCTTTTCATAATATGCAGCTTCGTTAATAAATGTTGGATAGACTGTACAGTCCCCTGTATATGCAATTACTTCTCCATCAAGAGTCAAAAATAGAGGATCACCATTGTTCAGTGGCTGCCAGTCTTGATCCTTAGAAAAAGAAAATAAATAGAATAGATTTACTTCCCTGTTTTTGTATAACTCCTGTGATATATTTCTGAGTTTATGCTCAATAATTATATTCTTTGCAGTTTATGGCAAAAGCTTTAAAAAGAATTCCTTTTAATCTTCAGTATGTAATTTCAGGTTTCTGGACCTCATTTTCAGGCTTGTATAGAATTCACTGGTAAAGGTGAACTAAAAGGAAACGGCATATGCTCACAATTGGTTAAAAACAGACCCTCATTTTAGCATTCAAAATTAGATTTATGTTTTAGCATATAAGATATCCTATTGTCTTTTTAGTTTTAGGTTCAAAAGTTATTTTAGATTGTGATTCCCAGGTCAGTTACTGAAATACTGTATGACCTTAGTGATAGAATTTACCATAGTGAAAGTCTAAACTATTCAATAAACCCATTTGCAATATTGTGATTTTAAATATTTACTACTAAAATATACTACAATGTAGCAGAAGCAACACAGGAATACTTATAAAAGGTCATAAATGGAAACTATTTCAGAATTTACCTGCAGTTTAGGGTGAATAATAGCAATAACTTCATCATTCTTATTCCTGGGATAATCTACTTTCTCCATTATTTTAAAAACCTCAATTGTACACGGTGGAAATTCCTTTCCTAGAAAGAATAAATGTAATTTAATGTCAACATGAACAACTGTCTGTTAAAAAGAACAATGCATTATTTATTCTTTTTTAGAATGGCTTAAATAATTAGGTTTTACCTCATCAGAGTTTACACACTAGTGATCAGCTCATCTATCATTAAAATGTGCAGCTCCAGATTTTTTTGTCCCTTCAAAGCTAAGTTACAGAAAGATGGTCTGGTCAGGTATTGTAGCATATGAAGCCCAGATCTAAATTTGGTGCTGAAATCTGACTTTTCACTGTATACTTAAAAAGAGATATTTTCTAGATGAAGAAATCATTGAAAGGCCTGCATTTGATAGTGCTGCACAGCACAGAATGGTACCACTGCTATTTAATCTTTACCATTCAGCACAATAATGGAGATTCTGACATGCACAACTATATTCTTTTCCTTCTACTTCCAAAAAAAAAGTGCACTGACAAAATGTGCTCTAAAAGAATCTTTAAACACCTATGTTTTGTCAGTATGTGTTTTAGATAATATGCAGGTGTACACAGGTATAACAAAATCTTACAAAATTTATTTACGTTTTAGATAGCAATGAACAGAAGGCATGTAAATTAAACACTTCTTTCTTTTTATTAATTTATGTATGTTCTCCATGGACTTACTACTATACAAATACTGTTAGCTAGCATTTCAGATTCTCAAAGCAACTGTAAGACAAAGATCAAGTATACTTATTGAATCTTCAGAAAGAGGAAATATCCTTAAAGCTACCCAAAGGAGCTATACAGGAATTCTGACTTTCTGATGCCACACTTACGTCGTCTAGCGAACATCCTCCCCCCCCCGCCCCCCTTACCTGTTTAACTGTAAAATGTTGTAGCTCAACCTATTTTTTAAAAAATATTCTCCTGAAATAGTCCACTGACATGACACAGGGGGCTATAGTCTCTCATTACTTACTCTACCTTCATTAAAAAGTTGCACAAAATCAAGGCCATGTTTGACAATCTTCCTCATTTTGTCCAAAGTATCAGCTCTAACAACACCTTGTGGCTGGGGACCCACCTCCACACCTGTTTCAGATGAGGGAGATTATTAATACAGCCATAATATATCACATCTTCAGATTACACAGCAAAAATGATTGGGTCTGCGTTTTATGTTCAAGAGGAATTTTAAAGTATAGAGTTATGTGATTTTGTAAGGCAAGCAGAAAATTTAGTGTAGTGGTCAGGATCAGTTTAAAGAACCATATATGCATTTTTAAGTGTGCTACTAGGGTAAGAGAAAGGGTCACTATATATATTCGTTTCTCTTATTTTTTTCCTCATCCTATCTTACCATGCTGCATTTTAAAGAACTCATTGTTTAATATGAAAAGCAAACTAATGTTTTTTTCTATGGTTATGGTTTTTTGATTCCATAAATGAAAAAGTTAACCACTTCGGTGCAGAACATCATTTCCCCCTTCCTTCATCACATCTTCTCTTTTCCTTTTCTTGGCTAACAAGCACTGTTTCAGCCAAGGCTTATTTGGAGGAAGTAAAGATTTCTTTTCTGAAGTTGTTACTTCTTCCTTATCCTCGTATATTGTAAATATTTTCTGCACGCAGTGGGTTAACTGAGTTTAAGAATTTCCATCTGGCTTCTGTATTTTTTAAGCCAAGTATAAATCAGAACACTTCAGAAGAAAAGATAATCACATACATTTGATTCAGTAAATATATTGTCAAATAGCTGCTGGTGATCGGAGCACTCTATATAACGTAATGAAATAAACAGATCTGGGAACAGGCATATTTTTAAATAATTTATGGTGTGTTAAAATAGTCTTTATTTTTTCATATTTACCAACAGGATGTTTTGCTACAGATCGAGTTGTTGCATATTTCAAGCTAGGATGTTCAATCAGCAAAACAGGACAGCGTTCTGGAGCCAAAGCGTTCTGTGGAGATTGTTTAAAAATTTCTTTGTTATGCAAATATTTTAAAATGTTGTGCCACAAAAGATTACTGATGCAGAAGTGATTTACACAATGTCTTCAATATGTTGCCTTTATTTTATGGCCCTCAAAGAAGTAGGACATCTTTAGAAAACGTACAAAGCAGTATTTGTTGGTCTCCTTCCCATTAACTCAAGCCAGGCATGCTCTGCTGAACTTTGCTGTCTCCTCAAATAACAGAACACAGTTCTAGTCTTAAATTGCTAACAGGAAGAAAAATCTACTCATCAGTGTTCCAAAACTTAGAATCAAAATACTGTAAAGCAGATTTCAAGTATTTTGTGTGTTACACTTAGATTCTTTTATGGGGACATAGATTGTGAATTAAGTCTTTCTTTAACCTTCTTTTGACATAGAAACCTATTTCAGGCCTCTTTCTTGATGACTGCCTACCATTGCTCTTCATATAATTTTAGTTGTAAGCTTTCTATATCTTCAAGCATTTTATAAACTTTTAAATGGGATTCATGTAATAAGAAAAAATCAATATGTTAAATTATACCTTGTTTCTAAGGAAAAAAAAATTAAAATTCTGCACCATTGCCCTAACCTTGATTGCATTGGTCACTGTCTAGGTCACTAGTACTTCAACCAGATTACACTTAAGCCAGCAGTTTTGCAAACCTCACTCTCCCAATACTTATCAGCTTCAGGAACAGCAGAATCAAATGGCTTCTAAAGACATATCACTATTCCTATAAATACTGATGAAGGGAACATTTGTCATCACCTAGTTCCATTATTTTTTTCATGTCTTTATTTCCTAAAATTAATGTTTAACTATTTAGCATGTGTAACCCAAATTTATCCAAGTTCCTGACAGATCAGTGTGAAAGCAGATTAAATGACATTCATTTTCATAGATGTAATTCTAAGCATTCCTCTTTGCCCATCGGTCTTATTAATGCTCATTTTAATACATGAAGATTATGATGAGTTCAAATCTGAATTACCTGATATTATAATCAAATTATTAATTAACTCTGATTAAAAAACCCATCCTATGAGTGATTAAATATTTTAAACAGTTTTGCAGAATAAAAATTAGTATATTTAAAGAAACTACAAAATAATATATAGTAATACAACATTACAATTAATAATCTATTTTAATAGTTCATTTAAATTGGTTTTACCTTGATATAATGAAACATTTGAATTGTAAAGTCATCCCTGGAGTTTTCAAGGATAAGGGTACCACCCATGTTAGAAGTGGTGTTGTGAAGGTCAAAAATAAGGTCATACGCATCATCACTACCTTTTGGACCAAATATATGATTGATTTCCTGAGCCCTTCTCACTTCATATGGAATATCTTCCACCACTGTCCTGCTGTTAATATCAGTACAAAGAAATTAGTAAACTCATTCCATGGCTTTACAGTCAACAAAATATGTATACCCTTTTCTTTTTACTTTAATTCCACAGTTTACTGGAGTTGAAATCACCTATTTAATTATCAAACTGTTAAAACTTGATGAATTTGTGCTCAAAAAAAGCAAGTATGATTGTTAAACAGGTCTTACTATTATGTATCTTGTGCAGAAAGGTAGTGAGAATTTTTTGATCTGATTTTAGATGGAGACTATTTATTTCTCTCTTATTTCTTTACATCCCAAAATTTCCCCCTATGGAGAAAAGTAACTCAAAATTTATCAACAACTTAAGCCACTTCCAAGACTGGATCTACCTCCTACTGAAGATGGTATTCTGATATCAGTCCATGCCCTTTTACCTTGGACATCAGTCACAAGGTCTTTTGTAACTTGCCTTATTTCTTGTCTTCTCATATTCTGATCAGACTTTTACAGTCTCTTGTTGTGAGCCCTCCTGACCCTCAAAGCTCATAAAAGATTTTGCTACCTCAACTCTATTCCTCCAGAGTTTTAATACTTGTAATCTCAGGTCACTATGGCTGCACTACACTTTGAAAAAATGGTCTTAGCCTAAGGAAAGGTCTGAGATCTGCTTCCTGTCTCTATAAGGACTCTATAGGAAAGTGATGTATGAAACAAAGATACATATCTTACATATTAAGAGTGTACAAAACTGCGCTAGGTTCAGACTTGTTCCACATAGACAGCAAATCTGGTTTTGATGACAGGCTTGGGATACTACCCAAGTACAATATAGAAACACCTAATATCTTTTGCGCTAAATTCAGGGGGTTTTCTCACTACAGCTCAAGTTTGGTGATATTTTAATTTTCTAAGAAATACTGGTATTGAGTTGCATAAAGAAAGGTCTGTTAAATACTAACAAAACACTTGACTAACTGCATGGATATCTAAGGATCAGAAGAGGCTGATGAGAAAAATTACAGGATCACCACTGCCGGACTATGAGAAATGGCAAGACATAATCTATTGGGAATGTCTACATGCAATTGATCTACTGGTGGGATGTGAGATGGATTAGAATTTTTATGTGAGCCCCTCAAGCTCCTTTTTCTCTTCTTATGTTTCTGTATATCACATACTCTACCTTTGTATTCTTTAATTCTGTCTTTGAAATTCGAAGTTTCTTCACATAAGACTTAAATACTTCTTATTGAAGCCAATGGGACTTCCACCATTACTTTCAGCAGTATCAAGATTTCACTCTCCTTTTTGTTATTTTGGAAAATCATTTGTAATCTTGTAGGGTCTACACTTAACAGGATCAGGTGAAGGTATTGCAAACATTCAGTAGTGTTGTAATGGGACTAGGCAACTTAATAGGATTTACTGTGGAGTATTAGTTAAAAAATGAAGACAAAGTGCTATTTTGTCAAGTGTTCTATGTTCAAAGCAGCTGAAAACAAACAAAACCACTTTTTTTTTTCCAGACGTTTGTCCTAAGTAAGCAATTAAAAGAATGGCCTCAACACTTACGTGTTAAAAAGTCTGTTTATCTTATATATAATAATCTACAACAAAATTCTAAGAGGAAAAGCCAGATGAAAAGACGTGCAGGGTAAGAATAACCATGCTTACAAAATACACGTGGTACATATTTCTTTCACTAATATTCACCTTTACTATTAAGGCCTTTCGGAAACATAATTACCTGTTTAGCATGGAACTATACCAAGCATTAGAATGTTTATACAGCAAAGTACATATCTGGAATAGATGTCTCAAAAGCACAGAAACATAAAATACCATTAAAAATGTAAAAATCAATTACTTTACAGTAATTGTAGATTGTATTTCTCCTAAAATAATGAGTTAGTTAAATTACTGAGACTTTTTGGCTATCATTTTGCCACAGAATACATTATTTCTAACTTCGCTAATTTCAAATTTTCATCGTTTACTGTATATAACTGAAATTAAATACACTTCCTGATTTGTATGCCATTCTTTCACATACTCGGATGTCTAGCTTTAAATTGCTTTTATCTGCTATCTTCCTGTAAGTATAATTGCATTCAGAACAGCTCTAAAGCTGAATTGCACAAGAAGATGTGAGAAATAATGACTTTGCAACTCAGAACAGCAATACGTCAGTTTACACAAATACAGCTAATGTAATACTAATTTAAAATGCTGTGTTTAAGATTATATGTTGGTTTGAGACTCAATCTACTAGCAGTAGTTTTAAAATGAATCTGTTAACGCTCACGCAATTTGTTCTTTTTGGGTTAAAGGTCAATAACTTCAGTTATGTGACTGCACAGTTAAAATAGTAGTGGAACTTGTGTTAACATTTTAATCTGGAAAGGAAGCTCCTTACAATTAAAAAAAAAAACCAAAACAGAAAAGTAAAACAACAGAAAGTGCAACTATTCTTACCCAAGATTATCAGGGTCAAAAACACGGTTCAGATCACAGTCAATGTATCTAGTACACTTCTTCACAGCTCTTGGGTTGGTAAGAAATGGTTTCACTTCCATTCCTGTTCTTTGAATCTCAGCTCCATTCTCTTGCCAGTGCTTGACCAAAAATACCCCTGATAACTCATTGCCATGAGTTCCCCCGAAGATAGCAACCCGTCTTACTGGAGGTTTATCAACAACAGAAGAGGAAGTCATGCTTTTCAGCAGCTCTAAGAATTGCTGAAAGCAAAACAGAAAATAATGATAAAGTAAAACTTTTGTCTCAAAAAAAAACCCCAATATTTTTACTCTTTTTCATAGGAAATTCTTTAAGCCTGTTTAGGTCAGATGTGAATGAAAGTGAATTAACATTTCCCTAACAGTTTTAGACTCCCTTTGCGAGGCGGGGAGTTGCTAACCTGACACTCCTCCCTCTGGAGGAGCCCTCCCCTTCATTTACCTTATTTAGTAATAGCTCCAAGTCTGTTAATGGTAGTGTTACACAGTTCAAAAGTTAACTTCTCCAGGCAATCTCTATTAATATACGATACATAGGTAAATCTTGTACTAATGACAGTATGAAAAGCCTTTTTTAATGTGAACTTTAATAATGCACTTAAATGTCTCTGACATTTTTACATTGCAATCTAGGTGTAACAAGTATGCTCATGTATGTTTTACATTACATAAACATTACAGTACACAAGTGCAGAATGACTTAAAGCGAGCAAAACCAGTAAAATATGAATCATATCTTGGCTCTAGATCAACTCATAATGCTGAAACATCAAGTACTTTCATCTAAAAAAAAACAAGAACGGCTGAGTTCCTCCAAGCATGTTGTTGTTTGTATGACCTTTTTTGTTTTACAGTATCTAAGGAACAGTGATTAGAAGGAACACGAGCTGAAATTAAATTGCAATTTATCCATGACTGACTTAGCTCGTGTTCCTGCCTCTAGTTCTGCCTCGGGATCTGCTCACACAGAACTCTAACTCACTGAACAACTTTGTCAGTGACGACCCTTCTAACTTCTGCAATCTCTTATTAAAAAGGAAACAGATACAGACCACAACGGGACAATAGTTGTGTTCTCCTCCCGAAACACCCTTAGCCAACAACTTGATTTCTTCCATTGCCAAAAGCATACATATAGACTTCTGAAACTTAAGCCAAAGAGCAGCCATAGCTTCCATGAGGATCAAAACATATAGAATAAAAGGTCTTAATAACAGAAACTGTAATAACTGCTGTAAATGACAGAAGTATTTGCAATTAGTATCCGACACACAGTATAAATGTAAAAAAACGTTACATTGCAAGGGAATAAAGAATGTTTATTGAACTATTCCTTTTTATTAAGATTATACTCCAGTGACTGAGAGAATATTTGGCTAGTGCCTGGGAGAGGCTTTATAATAACCCAGGCTGATAGACTGTAAGTCTACGAAAAGAAAGCTAAGCACAGGACTTATCGAGAGAAGTTTTGCCAGGAGTACATTTCCTACAAAAGCTGCTCTGTCTGTTTCAGCTTGTACATACAGGTTTGCTGTACATTACAGCAAGTTAATACAAAGAGACTGTTTAAACACTCAACTGTATTACTGCTGTACTTGGAAGATGTCAGGTATTTAATCATACTAAGTAATTTATTAAACAAAGCAGTAAAGTTGTATTTTACAGCAGTGGACAGTCTGTACTGTCCTTTGACCCCCATCTCAGCGGTGCTGCCAGAGCGGCGATTTACACGCTGCCTGAAAAAATGCTCTGAATCTTGGTTTTGCTGAATTTCACCACCACAGACATTTGAAGAGCGAACAGCAAAACGCAGACACGCAATGCTAGTACATATAGTTTATCTTTTATTGCTGGTGGCACTGTCACGGTTTTCATTCCTTGCAAAATACTGAATGAAATACAGGCATAGTTTGTGCACTTACCTCATTTAACATGCAAGAAGTTCGTCTCTTAAGAGGAGCTTTCTTAGGACAGATACAGTGCATTTCCAAACATGAATTTAGGAACTAAAGCCTTGAAGGCTTCTTTTATACCCTTAGAGCAACTTAACTTCCAGACAGCTTTTAACTCCCGGTCTCCCAGGACGTTACAAGCACTCGCGAATTTGTGGCATAAATGCAGACACTTGCAAAGCTTTTGCTCCTCTGAATTAAACGCCCAGAACAAGCCCTTATTCCTGTGCTTTGCCAATACTTACACTTTGAAAAATTGTGTGGGATCGTATTTAGTTCATTAAGAGTTCAGATTGTTGTTATGTAGGACATACAAATATCTGGTAGTGCTTCAAATGTCTGCCACGAGCTGAAAAACATATGCAATAATAAAATGTAAATGAAATGAAGTCTAGCTGTCAAAGCCAAGAAGGGCTATGAAGAAGTTTAACATGGCTCACCAAAACTTTCCAAGGCTGAAGGATTAAAAAAACCAAACAGACAGGCTCCAATCCTGCTGAGAGCCAAGATTTTACACAGGAACCAGTCAGGAGTTACACAGCTGAAAACATCAGTGTGTAAAACCCAGAACAGTGGTTGAAGCGAAAAGCAGCGTGAAGAACGCAGATACTTTTATTTATATCCGTGTTTGTGTTCACACATTTGTAGCAATTCAGCTCCTGCCCCGGGTTCTGTAAGTGCTGAACATAACACCACGTGGGCCAGTTCCACGGGTACGGAGGTAATTAATTAAGCCCTCCAGAGGCCCGATTTAACGGTGCCCGCCTGGCGCCCCTCTCCCCGCCAGGCCGGGGCCGCTCTCCGCACCGCCCCCTCCCTCAGCGCCTCCCGCCGCCGACTGCGCCTGCGCCGGCCTCAGAGGGGCGCGCGCGGTCTGCCCCTTCCCGCTCTTTTCCCGCTCCTTCAGGCGCGAGGGCGGGCTCTATCGGACCGTTATTTTTGGCGGGCTTCGCCTCAGCCCTCTCCTGGAGGTCCCAGCGAGGGCTTCAGGCTCCTTTAGCCTGTGTTCGGTGCTGCTGCTGTGTGAAGTACTGCTGAGGCTTACCCAGGTATCTCCTGTTCTCCATCCATAGCTTATTTTTTTCTACAGCCTTACCTATGGGTTTTGGCTGTTTATCTTCAAGGCAGGACAGAAAGCAAAACAATACAGTCTTAAATCCTGTGCAACACCAAAACTGGCTTAATAAACTGAAATGTCAAGTTTATGGGGTTTTATTTTACAAGTCACTGATGGCCATTAGGCTTCATAGTGCTATCAGCACAGTTTAAATTGTGTAACAGCAATGAAGTTGAAGCTGCGGTAGTGTTGTCACACATGTAATTGACATATCTCACAGAAATAGACAGTGAATTGATCTGTTAGTCTAGCTGTGGTAGATATTTGTGCTTCATTCTTATCAACTTCTTTAATGGTTAACTGCCAGATCAAAATAAATGTATTATTTATACAAACAGGTAAGAATTATTATTCATATGCCACTAAAGGTGATATGCACCAGTAGCTAACTCTGACACAGACATTCCCTATAAGTAGATTAATCAGAGAACAATATGGCAAACTCTCTGTACCTGATATGCTAATATATACTTCTCCTTTTAAAAATAATTGGCTGATAATAATGTTTTTTTGACTTGTGAAGTATTTTATATATGATGAAATTGGCTAAAGTTTTTAAGCCTGTACCATAAGTACAGAAAAAAAGTTTATTTTTTGAAGTGTGACGCTGTTTTTTACAGAATAGTTAAATCAGTTTTTTACTCAAAGCCATGTACCTTGCCATCAAACTTTGCAGCAATGTATGAGTATGCATTTTCTATTAGTATTATATTTTCAGGATTTAAAAAAAAAAAAATTCTTGTGTTTGAATATATACACGCTTTTAAATTCAGAAGTAAAATAAGTACTTTTAAACCAATTTACAAAAGTAGATAATATAACTGTTATTTCAAGGATCTAATTGTTTGGTCCCTTAATCTACAAAAGAGCGATTGCTTGTTACTTGTGTACCTGTGGATCTTCTAAATTCAGTACAGCTGCTCGCATGTGTTAGGCTTGTGTCTGAAGTGATGCGTGTCACTACGTACCGAGAGTTAAGAGAAATGGCCATAAAATTACATAAGACTTGGATGTGTTCACAACGTGAATTAGTTTACTTTGTCTGCTTTTCTAAGGTCCATACGGCAAATTTGGAGTAATCGATACAGTGTTGCCTCTTAAGATACAGCAAAGAAATGAAGAGGAGCTTGGCTGACACTTCGATTCGCAGCACAGCAGGTACCATCCATTCCTTTGTGCTGTCGCAGTTCATACCTCATTATGCTTATATATATATATCTATACACGCACGTGCAGTATTCATACAGAATATAGACTATTCAGTCCCAGACCCCATTTGCTGAGCGAACTTGCATGGGTTATCTGTTTTATTGCAGCACAGGCCAAGATTTTGAATGGAGTCAGGGGACTCATCACTACGGGGAATGTTTCATTCATGGGATTATGTGCAGGACGGAGGGCTGGGAATATACATTCTGTGAGACAATGGCTGGTCTGTTATGTGTTTATGAAATGTAATTCCTATGAGTGCTATAAAATAATTGTTAAGTAAATTTATCTACATATTTTAAGTGTAGAATGTGTATTCTTTTGCTATTGGTATACTATTATTATTTGAAATTTAATTTTAGGTTGTCTGCCTGTACCTCTATTCAACCAGAAAAAAAGAAACAGGCAGCCCCTCACTTCAAATCCACTTGAAAATAAGACAGGTACCAGTTCTGGGACTCATAATTATGACTTTTCTCCCACATCATTTGGTAAATAAGGTTTATTTTATTTGGATTTAGAGCCATTAAAAAATAAGTCTTAACTTTGTAATTGTATTTTATTAAATTAGACATTGTCTTTATCAAGAACTATATGCATCCTTTATGTTTATTTCTGAAAAGTTCACTATGTAAAAAATGTCTTCCAGGAAATTTCATTCTCCTCTATACAATTGAGCTTTTTATACTTTGTGCCTAGAGGGAGTTTGACTCTTTGTGTGTTAGAGAATGAAGTAGCACTGGCATTTAAATAGAGTCTCTTGAAACTCTGACCTTTTGTTTTCAGTTGATTTCAATCAACATTCAAGTCCTGTGTTACAAGAAGAAACATTTATAAGATGTCTTTTTTGTAATTCAGAAAGGAGCTTCTGTTCTTCAAATTCTACTTGGAAAGAATGATGCTGAATTCTGCCTTTAGTACTTCCGTTATGTTTTACTTAAAGTAAAAAAGTTTGCTTATAATAAAGTAAAAGCCTCTGTGCTAGTAAGTCTAATGTCTGTAACTCAACCATTGTCTAGAGGAGCAACCCACTTGTTAGAAGTTGCCTTATAGTTACAGATATCAAAGGATCACATTCCCTTTTTTTTTTTTTTCCTTCTCCTTCCTGTGTGAGACTATTTGTGGAACATTAAGCAGATAGAGTAGGAGCCCTGAGTAGACCTATTACCTTTCAATCTCTTCAGTTTGTATCCATATTCAATCTTTTGTCTTTTGTGAATTAGGCTGGGGAACTGCAGACACAGAAGTGGATGAACTACAGAAAATAGCAAACAATGGGTATGTAAAAGTCGATTATTTGTTACTTATTGATTTTATTTTATTTTTTTTTTACTTTGGGTGCTAATTGTTTCATAAACTGATCCATGTGTCTGTCTTACAATAAAGCTGCTACTATGTCACTAATACTTTAAATTTATCTTTGAAAGCCGAACAGAACATCAGGTGGCTCCTTCCCTTATGAAACCACCAAATGCATCAAAGTCTTATGTAGCAAATGCTGGAAGAAACATGTATGCCTGCAGGTTGGTGAAGTCTAATTTTTATTATCCTTCCTTAACTAAAATTATTCTTACCTGAAAATATATCTTTATTCCATATTTTTGTAGCATTCAGGGAGACCCTTTTAATTCTCAGATCATCACTGTAGTCCTCAATAATTCCGTTGTGCTTATGAGCCAAAACCCACTGAAATGAAGTGTCTTTCCAGTGTACCTAATGAGGCCTACTAATTAGAACTAATATCTAGCCTTATTATCAGGCCTAAAATTCACTTCTGCCTTAAAACTTGATTGAATTTTGCTGGTCTTAGATGTAATTTTTTGAGATTCCCCTTTACTTGAAGTTTTGCCCACTTTCAAACCAAGTTTATCAATAGGCTCAAATAAGTTTCTGTAAGTGTAATAAGGGCAATTGTATATCAAAACTTTTAATCAAAACTGAATACAATTGTGAACTCTGTACTTTTATAAACCAAGGAAAATCTTACAGATTCAGATGCATAGAGCTGGCAGGAAAACTTCCAGCGTACGGTATTGTCCTTTTTCTCTCTTCCCTTCCTCCTGTTTCTTTCCAATGGTAAAAAGAGAGTGAATGTTTCAAACAAGTGCCTTTCAAAGGCAAAATGGAATGGAGGTGGAAGGAATTTCTGAGACACCTTTATAAAAAGAAGGGTGTTAGAAATAATACGGTCAGCACTAGAGTTTGTTGTAAAATGACTTCTTCAGTGATGATGGTAGAAGTTGAAAATACCACTCTCAGAAGAAGCCTTGTTTATTTTATTTTAGAGTTATGGAAAAAATGTGAATCTCGGGTCAGAAAAGACCCCTTATACAGGGCAGGACAATAATTGAGCAAGTTTATATGACCTCTTGAATTCAGCTGGATTTAAGCACAGGTGTGATCACTGCCCTGTATATGGATAAATTAAAGTGTATACTCGAGTGCTCTGAGTCTGAATATTTAACAGATGTTTTTAAAGTGGAAACAACAATTCATAGATTGCTTTTATTACATATCTGAGTATTCAGAATAGATACTGTGATACTGAACTATGTCTTACGTTGTACTGCAGGACAGAAGAGAAGGCTACCAGTACTAAGGCTTGGAACAGAAATGAGTATACTCCTTTAGGTAACACAACGGAATCAAGATCTGATAGTGGAATTATTCGAAAGTTTGAGAGCCTTTCAAATAGTTTGAAAACTGTTCAGCAGCAAAAAAACCCTGATAACCGTAATTCATCTCAGCGTGTCAAAACAACAGAAACCAGCCAAGCATATACATCTAAAGGACAATGGCCAATGAAACCTAACACTTTTTCAAGAAGTCTGCAGGATCATAGTCTGGCGCATAAGTTTAACCACAATATTCAGCAAAATAAAATGAATGAAAAACAATCTGATTGTGTTCCAGAAGACAAAAGTCAGGTAAACTTATGGAGAGATGTAATAGGAAGATACAATGAAGAAAACAGTAAAGAAAAATAAAATTGAGGAAAGATGAGGCTTTAATTAGTCCTAGTTGCCTTAGTAAACCCTTAAGTTTCTAAAAATTTAGAATAGAGATTTTCATACTATAACCACCTACAGTCCACAGCCTGATCATATAAATTGGCAGGGAGTTGTTTGTATGGTCTGAATAAATACTCTAATTTTAATGTAAATATCGGATATTTAACATAATATATCAATGTGCCTTTTAAAATTGTATGAATGTGTATCTCTAACTTGAATTTTCATCTTCCTCTGAAAGGAATTTTCATCATCTCAATTAAAAATTAAAGAAAAAAAGAATTCTTTGCGAATTTTATCTGCAGTCATTGAAAGTATGAGGCACTGGAGTCAATATGCTAATAAAACTCCACTATTATTTGAAGTTTTAGGTAAGCATGGTAGATTGTGCTATAGCTGATAATAATAGTAGGACAACAGCCAAGAGAAAATGTTATTAACTGTAGGAACAATAGCTGAAATAATTAAAACCACAAAATAGTGGCATGAGCAATAGCTAATTTTCCTGGTGGGAGATCCATTCATCTATCAAAGGTGACTAAAATAGGTACAAAATTAATAATACAGTCATCTTCCAACATTTAAGATCTTTCTACCCTATTTCTTTTCTTTCCTTGTTTTTAGAATGTGTTACAATAAATTTTTGTATTTAATAGGAACAGAGAGGTATAGTTTTACACTAATTTTTAATACAATTAATCTAGGAATAAATTCAAGTCTGGAGTACTTGTAAACATAGATGACAGTGTTTCACTTTACATATTAATTGACATCTGAGAATTGTATGTGTCAAAAAGCTGAAATGACTAAACTTTAAAGCAAGGTGAATAAAAATAAAAAAGCAAGGTGAATAAAAATAAAAAAGCAAGGTGAAAAAAAATTTTGACAATGTTGAAAATATTTAAAGTTGATTTGCATATGAAGATCAATAAAACTTAATGAGAATTGTGTTGCGCTCTGCTTAACAAGGGAATAACCTGTTTACAGTGGTGGTTATGAAAACCACATTTGGTCACTCAGTTTACAGAGAGAGAAGCAATTTTGCTATTCAAAGACAATGTAAAGCTCAATTTGTATTGGAACTTCCAATGCTGTCAGCACAAGTTCTCACAGAAAGCTGATGCAGACTTGATATATCAGTTCTTTTGTGTAGTAAACATTGTCATGGTGTGCTTGTATATCATACTTAGTACTGTTGTGATGTTACATCATGATTTATTTTTGCTAAATGGTATAGGCACACTTGATTCTGCAGTCACACCTGGACCATATGGGGCAAAGAATTTTCTTTTGAGAGATGGCAAGGAGACTCTGCCTTGTGTATTTTATGAAATTGTAAGTATTCCTTTTTCCGTACATAACACAAACACCACTAACTCTAATGCCTTTTATGAAGCTAATAATATGTTGTTCTGATAAAACAGAAAATTACTATGTAAAAGGAAAGCTGTATGCTTATACCATATTGTTCCCAAACTGGTCTAGAGCAATAATCCATCACTGTTTAGGCATCCCCAGATTTCTGTTTCAGCAAAAAATGTGGGACTTTCAGTTCAGCTTCTAAGGAGTTAGTAATAGCAAAAAAGCTGTTGTAAATTCCTTTTGCATTTGATGTCTTCAGAAACCAGACATTTTGACAGCTTTTATGTTAGGTGATATAATTTTCATATTTGTTTATTATGCTTTTGATGAAGGACCGGGAGCTTCCAAGACTAATTAGAGGTCGAGTACACAGGTGCATGGGAAACTATGATGCAAAAAGGAACATTTTCAAGTGCGTCTCTGTAAGACCAGCAACTATTCAAGAACAAAACACTTTCCAAGATTTTGTTAAAATTGCAGATATTGAGATGACAGCATATGTGAAAAAAATTAATGAAACTTAAAATGATCAAAATGGTTGTCTGAAACTGATTTTTTTCACTCATCATTACCCGTAAAGACTGGACATCCTAAAGCATTTACCAAAATGAATACTGAAAATCTGATTAAATAATTGAAAATATCACTATGCTGTGTTACCCAACAAATGTCAGTAACAATGTTTTGTTTCCATTATTACTTTTCATAGCTTATCTTTTCTAGTTATATGTAACAGGGCTTTGTTACATAGTAGATTAGATTTTACAGGAGAAATTCTAAATTAAAACTTCTAGGTTTTGCAGTAGTGCAAGTGTTTTAGAATAATCAATACTAATTCAGATTGCTATTGTTTTTCATTATCTTCAATTTGCAGAAATTCCTTCAATACCTATTTCAAAACTTTGACTGTATACTTCTTTTGAGGAGTATTTGGTCAGAGTTTAATAGCAAACAAACGTCAACAAAGTTCTTTTTGGCTCTGCATGTTGTGTTAAAACTGCTCTTTGGTAGAAAGTAAGGAGGTAGTCTTTGTTCCACTTTAGTTCCAACTAAACAGGTTCCCTTTTGTTTGCTGGATTACAAGAACACGTGTAAAAGCTTTTCTAGAAACGAACATAATAGATACTATAGAAAGATTTCACAAGATGCAGCTGTACATACGAGGTATTCATATAGTTCCTGTTGATATGTTATCTGATTCATGTTTTTTTAAAAAATAATCAGTATAACACCTGTATAAAATAGCAACAGACCCTGAAGCTGTAGGAAGATTGCTCAAGGATATAGAGGAAGTTGGAGAGAAGTAATTATTTGAACACAGAATTTCCATCCCCTTTCATGAGGGATGAACCATGTACATGTTTATGTGTCTTTGCCTTCAAACATTAACTTTCATAGATTATTCCTGTTGTTTCTATTTCCTTTTCCCCTTAGCTAGTTCCCCTACTTCAATAGCTTTGTACCAGATCTGCTGGGAATTGTAAAACAAAAGAGTTGTCAAGAAAACAGTGTACAGTGTGATTAATTTTTTTTTAAATTTTATTATACAGTGTTGGCAAATGGAAATTTCACATTTAAAATAATTGAAATATTGTATCCAACAAGTCAAATACAGAAAACAGTTAATATTCTAAAAAGGAGCCAGCTAGTCAACGCAGAAACACATTAATGGAAAATACAGCTTTTAGTTACACTTAAAAAATTATATATTTAGAATAAAACTTGAACCTGGTCCAGTAAATTGTTTGACTTGTAACAGGAAAACGCTTTTACACAGTTTAACGCGTAGACAGTCTTTATTTAAAAAAAGTGATCTGTCAGTGTTAGCACATGTATTGTTAGAACATCTGCCCCCTTAATGTTCCAGTTGAGGATCTAAAATATATGCTTTACTAAATGTTGTAAGAATCACTTGCATTACCATCTCTACCTTCTGGGCTAAGCTGATTCTGAGAGTGGATATTTCAAGGAGAGTTTCGTCTATCCAGTTGTAGATGTAAAATACATATATTTGATTTCCTTTATATATTATAAAATATTAAAGAAAGTTCCAAATGGAAGCATTAGCTTAACTAATAAAAGGCGCAGAATATTACAGGATGTGGAGCTTGATGATTTTCACAATAGAAGAAGTTGCGTTTTAAGAAGTAAAGGATTTGGTACAGCAGTGTTGTAAATTGTAAGACTCCACTGTAACAGTAATTTAAAACTACAAAGGAAGCTTAAAGTATGGGACCAAGCCTGCAAGCATCTGTGTGTCATCAGCATCACACAAATGTTGTAGTCCTACTGATTTCAGTTGAATGATTGATGGTTCCAGTTCTGCACATGGGAAAGTTACTTTAATAAGTAATGACAGGACTAGGTCATTTGTGTCTAGCAGGTATGTTATGGCTGTTAATAAAAATCTAAAATAATTTTACTGTCAGTAAGTGTTTAGATCTTTGCAAAAAAAGTTTTCTACTTTACACTAACAAATCACTTTTTCTAGTGAAACATTAAGTGAACAATCCATAAACATTACACAAAACAGAAAAAACCCTACATAATACAGATTATACACATTACTCAATGTTTTTCGGTTGTTGGGTTTTGTTTGTTTCTTTTTTAACCATATTGATCCTGTCTTGTATAATGGTTCTAGTGTAAAGGCACAGGTTGGTTAGGAAAGAAAAGCCTGCATCTCTGTCTTTCTACCTTGCGGTGATGATTTTCTTTTTACGTGTTGTTTGTTATTCCTCACTTTTCTGACTCTCATGAAAATTATCAATTTCAGTCATTCATTAAAAAAGTGTAAGACATTATTGAAAAGTACATTACTATACAGAAGTGACTGAAATTTATTCTTCTTACTTTAGAGGCATTCCTTCAACCTATTTTGTTAAATATTTGGAAGATTGAATAAGTAATTCAATTGCAAGCAAAGATGCGTAGCGCACTCTCTGTGTACACAATTCTACATTGAAATCTGTATTTTCAAAGATTACTAATGGAACTTGCTAAGTTTATGTGCAGAATTTGCTTTTAGAGTGCATGAAAATGTAACAACAGACAATTGTTTTTGAACACAATGCAACCTTCCACAGTGTGATTAATGGGTGAGGAATGTAGAAGGGTGAGGAATGTAAACAAGACTGCAGAAGTCTTTGACATTTATTAAAATAACACAGTGATTGTTCTATCTGTTTGCATTTTCTTATACATCCTCAACATGTCTCTGTCTGCCCCTTCATGTACACTTTCCATTTAAAAAAAAAATAAAAAAATTCAGGAATCAGTTGGACTCAGCTAAGTGAAGAATCGTAAATTTGATCACTTGGTTTGTGCCAAGATACAAAACTAAGAAGTACAGCTCTGAATTAAATATAATCTATGTGATTATTTCTTTTTTAATAAATAATAGAAAATAAAAGATGAGAATAGAATTAGAATTCAATTTTTATTTAAAATTAAAAACATAGTGGTGGGATGAGATTAGAACCCAATGTTTCTTTTTAAGGCAATCAAGTGCACTTATTTCAATGCTTGATACTAATGAATTCAGTGCTATTGTGGAAATCAGACTTCACAAATTTCCCATGCAAACTCATGAAATATGGCCATTTGCTAGTTCTGACGTGGCATCGCATTCTTATTAGTTGTGATCAGTAGCATTTAACTTTTTTTTTTTTTTACAATAATGGGCTCTTAATGGTAATGGAAATATTTAGTTCATTCTGGCTTGTATTATCGCTACATGTAAGGGCCATTGGGCATGTACATTTTTTTTTTAAACAGATTTTTCTTTTTGTCCTGAAAAAAACAAACAACAAAATCTATAGTTCTAATAGTCCAAATAATTTTGTAAAAGTCCACCTAAAATTATAATTTAAGAAATACTGAAAACTGATATTTTTTTAAGTCATCATGAAGCCTTTGGAAGTAGTTAGATCTCTCTATCTCTCTCTCTGAAAAGAAGTAATCTAAATTTTATGCAAGTCTTCATGAAGATGACACTAAATCTTGAAGATTAGATCAGTATTAAAAAGTGTGCCCAATATGCAGGTACTACTAATACATATAGATTAAAAAGAATTTTCTCCTAGTATATAATTCATTTTAGATATCAAACTTAATTTTAGGCCATGGCTACTGGTAGGTGCTTTTTTCACTAATCAAAACAATTGTAACAAAATATCATTATGGATTTTAAAATTACTGGGTTCATAAAAGTTTGGACATTTAATATATAAAAAGTGAATCAAAGCTTTTAAAAGACTTACAATTTTGAGACACAAAAGAAACTGGGAGGTAGACAGATGTTTTGAGGATAAACCGATTTTTTTTTTTTTTGTCTAAGGCATTATGCCACTCACTATATGTTAAGAGCAGTATAAAGGCTGCTGATTAATCTTATTTCAATTCCAGAGTGTTTGCTGCTCATACGTACGGAAGACTATCAATGCACTTTTGGTCTTTGTGAATCTGACCTTCTCTTCCCCATCTCCTTTTTTTTCTCTTTAGCAATACAGCTAAATGGAAGTGCTATAATAATTTCTGCCCATTGCCTGTAGACAGGAATGTTCTGTTATTAAACAGTAATAAAATACTATAAAATAGTAGGTATTGGAGTTGGAGATATGTGCTCTTTTGGTGCATATTTTGCAAAGAATGGTAAAAAGACAGACAACATGACCCCAACAATTGCCAGCATATACCCCCAGCCAATCTGGCAGTCTCCTGCATAGTAGATGTCTGAATTCTCACAGAATCTCTTCACAGTAGCAGAGTTGAAACCAAAAGGGTAAACCAAAAGCCCAGAAGCCATTATGAACACTAGAGAGGAGAAAAAAAACCACAATTACTATTGAATGCTTAATTCTTTGAAAAAAAAAAAAATCCTTCTTTTAGAAAGGCAAATATATGTTATATCAAAATTAATGGAAAAAGTCATTGCTTAGATCTTAACGATTGTCAGATTATCTTCCTTTTCATAATTACCTCTTATGGACAGCAGTGTCATAACATGGTAGCGAGTTGGCACTGGGATTTTTTTCATGAGAACTCTTGCCCATTATATCACTTCAGAAACGTTGCAATCCAAATTATGTAGCCATTTAAAAAGTAAGATGATTCAGATACAGTGGAATCCGGAGGAGAAGAATTCCTAAGTTTGCAGATTCCAAACCAGCTTGATTTTCTTCTCACTAGCTTTTTGTACTTGACACAAACAATTGCTTTGTTCTGCCAAATAAAAACTTTCAATGAAAGAGTTTAAACGCAGTTTTTCAGATTCTGCTGATTAGGTTCTGATGATGTAATCACTTTCTCATTATTTTTAGGTTTACAAACTCAAATTGTTTAAAAACATCCTGCATTTGACCCAAAGATTGTGAGATGAAAAACAACACAATCTGTCATGTTTTTATTTGGCTTTTAGGATCAGAGGCTTTCAGTATACTTATTGGAATTTTCTCTGTAAACTTGAGGATTAGAAAAAATTTCAACAGAAAGTTGAGACCTAAATTATTAAGACCTAAAGTTC